GAAGAAAGATACCTATTGTAGCGAGATACGACGCATCCCCTTTCAGATCCTTTCCCTTCCCTGTGGGGATGTACCTGCAAACGGGCCTTAGCTCAATGTTTCCTTGCAGCACGCAACCGAATTGAAGCCCTAATTTTCAACTTTATAATGGTGAAATGACACAGCCTTGCATGCGTGTCGAACTTTTCTATATCACAAATTATCATACTACCCCGAGCCGGATACTTAGTGACAGCTACTATTTTGCTTGTACCCCAAATCACAAAAATCACGTTTTTATTTCTTTGTTATTGACACACAATAGCTACCTTACTGATAACGTCTGAATAGTCCACTCGAATTGAATTATTCTACATAACATTGCTTCCTTGGTTGTTCTGCTTACATCGCTGAAGTAATCATATCAAGTATAAAATTCTTCCCTGTCTTACTTAGATAGCCTCTATTGAGTATCTCCTGCCATCTCTTATCAATGTTCAAAGAATTCATAAAATCGCGTGGCAGTCGTGCGCGTACGCGTGCTTCCATCTCCAATGGGCGGTTGCTTGCGTGCATATGTTAGCTTTGGTTACTAGAAGGGACAGAAAAATTTCAGAAAATCAAAGTGATACCTTTTGTTTGTGCTTTTTACGCCTTTTTGACATAGGAGGGACGGGCACCTGTCTTTGTAGCCATCATTCTGCTGCTAGAGAACGGTAAAGTTCATGCATAAGCATGATCTGCTGCGATATAGGTCTGTTTACTATCCAGATGCATAGTAACTTGCATAGCCACGCCTCTTACTGTTAGCATTCTACCACTACCCCAATGCGGACATGTCGTCTATCTCAATAAATCTGCCAGGCTAATGTATTGTCCACACCTGCAGATACCACTACCAAGACGACAACTACGCCTAAGGCTACGTCAACGTACGTCAGCCTAGTAGACCGCAGTCAAACTCGTCATCACGACTCAATGAAAGGCTATGACAAAAATCTGAACGAGTTATTCAGGGCGTTTGTCAACTTTGAAATTAAAATCTCATAAACATGAAGTTATACACTCCTGGGAATGGATTATTTGAGACTCATGTAACATGGGAGGATATCGAAAAGGATATGCAGAGAGAATTGCACACAAGCGCCTCGTTTGGTCCGAAGAAGAGTGCAAGAAATATAGCAGACGGCATTGTAAGCATGGTTCTTCTCAACATTCAACAGTTCTCCATAGTACATACCA